ACACACACACACATATATACACGCACACGCACAGTCCTTATTACTGAAAATAAGGACTAGCATAGCAAGTAAGTGGATTAGTAACAAATATGTTTTTATAAATTACTTTTCAGAGACAGAGTCACAAAGTGCTGTAAAACAAAATAGAATAAATTACATAAAAACTAGAAATAATCACAAAAAATAACAGAAGTTTTAAATATAGTAAAGAGCAACAAAAACACAGAATAAAACAGAAGAAACAAAAGCTGATAATTAAAGCAGGCATTATCAATAAGATCGAATAAAACAGAATCGCTACATAAACAAATAAGTCTTTAGCTGATTTTTTAAAAGAGTTCCAGTTTAAAAAAAATATAACATCTTAATTTCATGGTTTTAGTATGTAGTATGTAGGCTTATCAAAGTCAAAGTCTCTTCATTTGTCTCACTTGGGAGACATTTGCTTTGGACATAGGGGTCACAACGCACTCCACAGTCTTCAATCTTGTGTGCAATAGCTAAGAAACTCTGAACCTGCAATCACAGAATGCTAACAGTGCTAACTGGTAAGTGAGCTGTGTTGAGTTTAAAATCAGAGTTTGGGTTTAAAATCTGTGAAAAGAGACGTTTTCACACTGATTCTTATGTATACAGCATGTTTTAAGTGCAACATAGATTCTCCCTTTTTTCATATGTGCAAGTTCTTAAGCCACGCCTTACTAACATCATACATGAAGCCCTGCTGTAAAGTTACAGCAACCCAGGTGCCGCATCGCTTTGTCGCTCGAATGTGCATATATTCAGTTGGTATGAATAAATGTATAAATGTTTGTATACTTGATTCTAATGTACTGTTAAGTCTGTTTTACACTGATGAAACTGCAGCTACCAGAACACAGAAAACACATCAATAGAATGAATTCCACTTTGATCTGTCGATAAACCAAAGCAATTTCCACATCTCCATTATTAGGCTGTGGAATGGTAACCTTTAATATTTTATTGCATCCAGTTTATATTTTCTTGAGCTCTAAAGCGTGGCTGTCACGTTAGAAACAGACAGCAACATTGAGAGCACACGTGGCGATAAAATAATTAACTTGCTCTTTGTTTTTTCACTCTGCGCACTTAATTCCAAGCTTATTGATTTTTCTGCAGCATTAATCTCTTGTTTTATTTGTGACAGTGTTGCGATTGACTGTTAGATTTTTTTATATTGTTTATAGATTTATATCACTGTTTTATCATCATCACCTTATAATATCTCAACTGGAGTAGGAGGCATTCTCAAAGATCACGTTGTGTGGAAGTGGACTCTTGTGACGCGTGAAATGCCCATCACGCTGTTGTGATACCAGCTCCAACTGCGATTTGGGGTTTTGTTAAGCCAGCCTGGCTTTGTTGAACTTCCTAGTAGTATACATCTCAGCAGTGTGTTACAGAAGCAGCTGAGATAAACAATCTGGATCTTCTCCATTTAGTGCTTAAAACAAAGTCTAAAATCTACTGGGGGCCATTGTAAGACTATAGACGGGTATTGTGAGCTTGCTTACTAGAACAGGTTACTACATACACTTTGGAAATGTAGCACCAGTGAATTTATTTGCAGATCGTGATAACAAAGCCATTTTACCAGCATCTTCCTCCCCTCTAAAACCTCTGTTCATGCAACAAGAAAAGAATTCCAACAGGTTTTTCACTGCACACTGTGTTTCAACTTCTGTCCTTGTCTTGTCCGTGTCATTACGCACTGTGAAATTCATTAGTTGTCAAAATATCTTGTATCTTTAGCTATTGCACTTGAAGATAAGTTATTTTGAATTCCTTGAGGAGAAGATTGGGTCACAGTGGAGATAATAAGCTGCTTCTTTACAAGCGATAGCCAGAATAATAATGTTGGTGACTAGTATCTGTGCATGCTAGTCTCCTCGTGGAATCAATAGCACTGTGAAATCAATTGCACAGCAGGCTTAGCAAAGGTTTCCTGCTGTGTCCGAATCAAAAAAACAAATAAAGCTGAAAGAAAAATGAGACAAGCATCATGCTGTAGTGGGTCTGTTACCCACTGACAGTATAGCCAGACTCCAAATACTCAGGGAAGATAAAAGAATCAATACAATTTAAAAGACTTCTCTAAAATATTATCAAAGAATAAGAAAAGAAATAAGAAGCTTAACAAAGCAACCACTGAACATAAAATTATTCAGGACCGTTAACTACAGCCTCAGGTACTAAAACTTAAGGGACATAAAAAGAACCACTGGAGCAAACTTTGCAAGCACTTGTCTTAAAACTAAGAAAATGGACAGCAAATTCACTGTTAGTGATCTTTACTCACCATACACCAACAGCGTGTAATGATCAGCAGCACGACCATAGTCGTTCTGGGCCTGGCACAGGTATGTCCCGTTGTGTGATTGGCTAAGACGGGAAATCTGAAGAGTAGTGCCAGAAATCTCTGCCCTCTCAGGTAAGGTGTCATTAATCTTGGACCACTGAGTGTTTCTGGGCCTGTAAGAAATATGAAACCTTCAATCAGTTATCAAAAGTCAACCGCGATAGCAATGGTAGGAGATGACCCAGGGCTAACATATATAAAGAAAATAGAATTGGACCAAGCACTGAGCCCCGCGGGACCCACATGAGCGGTCCTGTTGAGGACATGCAGTTCTGAAGTGCTAGTTAGATATGTGTGATGAGAACCATTTGAGAGCCGTGCTACAGGTACTACCCAGTTCCATAATCTGTCAGTAAAATGACATAATCAGTGCTGTCAAAGACTGTTGATAGTTTAAGGAGAGGGCGGAACCCTGATTCCTTAGCATCTTTACATATATGGACATTTAAGAGTCACCAATTAACCTGACATACATGTCTCTGGCCCAGGAAACTGGACTGCCCAAAGGAAATTCATACATGTACTACAAATGCCCTAGCTGACCAGAATGCTGGAATCTTCTAACTTAAATATTATAGGTTTTAGCTTTAGATGTCTAATTTTTGCAGTTTGTTATTATACCTACAACAAGCAGTGGTATTTGCTATCATGATTGGAGTTTGGTGGAGACCTGAGTGCTAAAGTGAAGCTCTCAATCTACCCTCACCTATGCCCACAAGCTCTGTATTGTGACCAAAAGCATGATATTGCAGATATGTGTGGAAGAAATGAGCTTCCACTGAATGAGGTTTGGGTTCTGCCTTAGAGATGTCATGAGGAGGTTAGTCATTTGAGGGGGGCTGAGGGTAGACCTCTCTCCTCCACATTGAAAGGAACCAGCTGAGGTGGTTCAGTGATCTTAGTAGGATGCCTCCTGGGGCCTCCTAGGTGGGGTGTTTCAAGACCCTAGGGTAGACCCAGGACACTCTAGCCTGTGAATGCCCCTGTGTTTCCCCTGATGAACTGGACGAGGTGGCTGGGGAGAACGAGACCTCGGCTTGTCTACTTGCTGTCCCCGTGACATACACGTTTTGAGTAGCTGCATGTCTTTTATCAGTTCAGAAACGTTCTACCTGCATTCCCTGATCATTGCTCTGCATCTCTGCTGGTATGTGGTTTCAAAATGACAAAGCAAGCTGTATTGTTTGAAAAAAGAGATGTCTTGTGGAAAAAAGATATCTCAAGATAAGCTTACATGCAGTAATCACACACTTTAGTTCATGTTTTCTGAAGAGACGACTAACCCTTAGGTTTTACCTTGATAGTAGAAGAACGAGGTAAAAGACTGGCCTTAGTTAGCTGTTAGTGGCCACTGTATCTCTAACATGTAACTTGTTGTTTGTCCAAATAAAAATAACTTTATTGTATAATTACTTTATGCTTCTATGCTTGTCAAATAAAGAAGACAGGATATAAGGCTGCTCAAGATTTAGATCAGCTCAGAGGCACTTTTGACAGAACTGGTAGTTAGTTAATAAGTAATGTAATTTATAACTTCTTTAATAATCATTGTAGTCATGCTGTTATTAAATTCACGGGATAAAAATATGGGTTATTGAATCAAATATTTCCAAGGACATTGCTTAACACTGTCAGCAAGTACCTCGCATAACAATGCAATGGATACAATACGGATAGTCTGAAAGATATTTAATAAAGCCAGAAGAGCTAAATAATTTTAGAAGCAAAGGAAGTCAGTATCAGATTGACTTTGGCACTACCAGAAGTGGTGGCATGATAAAAAAAAAGAGGTGAAGACGGAGGGTAAAGAAGCCCATAGGGTGAGGTTGACATGAGAATGAAAGAAGGGTCTTGGAGGAGAAATCGTGGCAAGCGAGGGATGCATCCCGATAAATAATCATGAGATATGTGGTTAGAGGGCAGCGAGTGCTTGAAAGAACTGGGTAAGAGTGACAAGGGGGCAGATGACAGAGTAAAGGGTTGTCAGGTGTTAAGAGTAGGAAAGAAAACAAGAAGAATGTATTACAGGTAGAGTGAGGGAAAAAATGTGTAGTTGGAGTTGAAGTGCAGAAGCAGGCAGACAAAATGCATTGGTCACGAGGCTGGGAAGGCAGAGCAGATGGGAGGTACAAGGATTACAGACCCCCAAATCTTTGTGTGTGTATGTGTCTGGCAGGGTTTCATGGCTCTTGCCACCCTGGCCAGATTACAATCCTGACTCATCTGGGATCTAATCCCTCAGGAAGTCTAATTAAACCACCTTCTTGGTTCAGCATAGATGCATATACACAGTTTCTCCCTTTCCACACTGATGTTTTAAAACAAAATCTCCAGTTTTTCCTCTCTTGCAACAGCAAACTTGCACTCTTACTCTGAGTAATCCCTTACAAAGATAACACACAAATAATCAGGCTATCAAGCTAAATGAAAAGACATTGTCTGCCTTAATCTCCCCGCCTAGAAACAGACAGTCAGTGAGTGTACCCTTCGCCACAAGGAAGTGACATATAATTAGTAATTAATGCTTAACAGGCAGTTAACAGGGCCAGGGAGCAAGCGCGAGGGTGACAAGGGTACTGTAATGTGTGTGTGACTGTGTGTGTGTCTATGGGTGTGCAGTCCAGCATGAGATGAGGGTCATAGTCCAGTGCTGCCTGAAGTCCCATCCCTCACTGTCACATACACACACGCATACACAGTGTCCCCAACCAGCCGTTACAAAGCTTTAGTGGGGCTATAGCCAATACACTTCTCAGCCAGTCCTAACTGTGGGATTTCACTAAATTCATCACACTGACACACACAAAAACACACATGCACACACTTTAGCTGCAATGGGCTTTACTAGGGAGCTTTAGCGGACCCAATGCCCACAGACAGACAGACAATCTAGGGGAGGGTTTAAGAGCTTAGGCCCCAATACCCTTCTAGAAAGTGCCCAAAGGGCTGCCAACACTCTAGAAAAAGGCTTCATTTCAAGGTCGGATCTTAAAATTGTTGACTGCTGATTGGGTTTGGGTAACCTCACACACAGTGCATACCATGTCCACATTTAGACAGAATTTTTTTGTATCCCCTTACACACTTCCAATATCCTATCAGGCACAGTCTAAAGCGCCTCTTCTCTTTGTCCTTCATGCAATAAAATATGGATCAGGTTTTTATCCATCTGTCAAACGGTAAATGTCGGGTGAAACCACTCTTCTGCTTTTCATCAAAGTCAGAAGAACACTGCTACGTTCACGTGTCCTTACATAACAAGAAATATATTACTTGGTTTAATATTGTACATTTACACGTGTAATAGAAGATAAATATGGCTTACAGCTCATATTTCAAGTCCATTTCCCAATATTTTCAATAATAAGTATTGATATTTAGTTTTCTGAGCACAGTACCAAGAAAGTACAACAAATACAAAGATAAGTCTATGCAATATAGTAATTTCACAGACACAAAAAAGATGGCTGAAATTAAAAGTACTTGATAATTGCACTCAGTTTCTGAAGTAGAATCCTGGAAATGAAGGATCACAGTGAGAAATTATATAGAAAGAGACGAATGTGAAAAAAGTATTAGACAAAAACAATGAATCTGTTGTAGCTTTCTGGTTAAGAGTGCCCAAGGTCTCGCTGATTTTCTTCTTCCTTTAGAACCAGTAATGTTGGTTAAGCACACATGTTCTCCCTTCTGTGATAATTGCTTTATACTCACACATTTGGGAGCTGCCCAGGAAAACCTGTTTTCTGTTGTGAAAAGCTCCACTGGAGCAGGTAGAAGTTATTCAAGGATGTTTCCACAATAGCAATTAAGAAGGAGATTTTTCTTTAAACGAAAGTGGATAGTAATTACTTGGAAAATAAACAGTAATATATTTCAGAGACGCTCTCTGTTGGATAGTCACAGATCACCTACTGCACCCAATTTACCTCTATAGCCCATAAATGGCAAAAAGGTTTTGGTAGCACCCCTTATCACTTCATTGTTGACATTGTTGACAGCTAACACTTTCTCTGAACCTTCAACAAATCAAAATTTAAGTTTAGTCTGATAGATTTTTTCACATATTTTTGTTCTTTGAAACATATTAAAAGAAAACCAGTAAACAAACAAATACATTTAACTCTAGTGTTACTGGGGCGCAGTAACTTCAGCTCTTTTGCAGTTCTTTAGGGTTTCTTGTTATTCAATTCCAGCTCGTTCTATATTTAGCTGGTGGGATTTAATTATGATCTATAATTAATGGTCTGGGTAAATGTGTAAAACAGAGTTCTGCTAACAGATTGGCAGAGATAAAGTCAAGCCTTACAAATCTTTAGCAATATTAGAAATGAAATGTCATTCTTGTAGCAGCAGCTCAAAACAATTCCACAAAACTGTGTTAGACACGATTCAATTTTGCTAAATTTTCTATTTGTAAGGATTGATACTGAACTCTGCAAACTCCTGCACGCCCTTGTCAGTCAAACGATGTTTGCGTACCCTTAAACTAATTTGTCAAAACCCTTTGCTTTGTCGAGGCAAACAATTTATAATTTATGATTACTTCATCTGGAATTCATTTTAAAAATTATGGAAAAATCTCTCTCTTATGACAGCCTGCAACACTTTCACAAGTAGCGCCTGAAACCAGATGGCAAACAGAACTTTTACATATCTTGTGAAAAGTAAAGCTAAATTCATTTGTCATGAATGTGTTATCTTCGTAATGTGTCCTGGTAAATAATGTGGAAAGCAAGACAAAAGCAGCACATTCTTAATGTAAAGCGCACCAATGCCAAGCTGTTTACCACACATCCATATACAAATAGACTTACAGAGGATTCCCAGTGACAGAGCAGGTGAGGGTGAGCGAGTCGCCCTCTCGCAAAATGCCAGCAGGAGGAACAATTCGAACTGTAGGTGCAACTGTAGAAAAGCAGAAAGGAGGAGGGTGACATGAGTAAGCATTTCAGAGAAAAAAACTGAAAAAAACATTTCTCGATCCGAATGATGCAAGAATCAGACAGGAACAGGAAAAAAAAATCAAGAAAGAAAAAAAGAATCCGAAACAAAAGACAGGTAACAGAAAGGGAAAAGTTAGAACATGGAAGGAAAATTGTCTTTGACATCTGTTTCCAAGGCAACCGTGCGACAATCCTATGGTTTAGACACCTGTTATCATAAGCAGCCCACCGCTCCAGCAGCTGCTGTAGTGCACTTGCTTCAGTAACAGAACAATCAGGAGCCAAATCCACACCCGCGGTTGGTCATTATTGCCAGTTTTCTGGCTGGAGGAGCATCCAGGCAGAGATGTTAATGTTTGTTGATAGCTCACCAGTCTGATCTATCAACAAACATTAATATAGAAGTGGCAAATTAATTGAACTCACAAGGCCGATGTAAACATATTCGCTAAATATGAATCATCCACATCTATAAATATTTACATATGCCTGGGAAATGTTTGACTATTCAAAATGATATATTGTTGGATCAAGCAATCACATCAAGCTGTCAGGAACAGTGAAGATAGAACTAATGGAGTTACTGAATATGGTTGACTGCTGAAATTCATCAGATTAATATTGGGGGAGAAGAGAGACCACACTGTATGCACTTTTATCTTGTATTCTCATCACAGTTTATCTGCTATAATAATGCCTTTTATCAATTGCTGCCCACAAGACAATTCCAGTATGGAAGGAAATAGGGATCCACATGAAAAAAACTAAACAAAATGAACTTTGCATAATCTTTGTTTTTCTAAAAAATATATAAAATAAAATAAAAATGTGCCACGATTTCTGTGCTGGAACATGTTTTTTGTTTTGTTCTGTCCCTGTGTAGTATTTTCTGTGTCTTGTCACCTGTCTTATTAGCCTTTTCCCTGGTGTGTATAGCTTGTGCGTTTTCCCCACAGACTTTGTTATGTTGTTGTTCCCTTTTCCTGACCCCTGAAATACATGTGGTACATGTCTTTGATGTCTTGCCTCTGACACACTTTTGCTCCATTATCACAAGACTTCAAGGCGCACCAGTAGCATTTCAGAAATGGAGCGTTTAGTCTGCATGGGTTCTTATATTCTGAAAACTGACCAGATTCTCTATGCCGTCCCCATGTCTAACTTCCTGCCCTCCTCATCTGCTCTGCGCTGCTTGACGTGACTTCCATGAAAAAGTAGAAATTCTGAGGGGAGAGTAATTTTGGGAATTTTTCCAAAGTGTACTCTGGTGGGATCAGAAGCATTGTCTTTTGCCTGAGTGGCTGCAATCAGCTCCGGTGGTTAGGTTAACAGAACCACATCCTGTATATTTGAGTGTCCCTTGTTTCGGTCCTGCTAGCACGCTGCTTTTGATTAGTCTCTGTCACTTCTGGATTTTGTTACTGAGACGCATTTCCCTGTATTTTCCAAAAAGTGCCTTCTTTTTTTCTAAATTTTAATCTTCTAGTCCATTTCAGTTTTTGGCTTCACTTAGGCAGCATGCAAACACAGTAGTGCAAATTAATATCTTCAAATCAAAACACTGAGCTGAAAGCAAATATTTGTTCCTCCTCACATCAAAAACAAACATCAAAAACTTGACAAGCTTACATCTGATTTTCTCATTTTATACACTGATTCTACTGAAACAGACTTCAAAAAGAACAAAAAAAACCCCCCAAACAAATGCTGACAATTTAGTGTGGCATAAAATATATAATACAAAAACCCAGGGAGTTATCTCTTTCAGTAGTTTTCCCGCTTTGCCTCCTCTAAGAGGACATTACGATTTAGTGCACACAAACTTGTGCAAAGACACCAGCAACAAAAAGACAAAGTCAACGTAGGGCAGGGATTGTTTCACATACTAATATACTCCACATTTCTTTCACTTGATGTTGTTTAGCTGTTTAAACAACAGGCCAGGAGCCTAACCTGGCCGTGTTCCTATCTCTGGCAGCTCCCTGCATGACAAGATTTGTATGTATTAGGTTTTAATGAGTGCAGGTCTCATACAGGGCAGTTCTGAATATCACTGTTAAAATCCTGGACGGTGTATAAAAGAGGATCATTCTAAAATGAGATATCACCGTTTGAAAAATGAGGCTGCTAACCTGACAAAATTATTGCTGGCATTAAAGTAAAACACTATAATGAAGAGGCCTGAAGTAGCAATTTCAGTGACAGCAATACAGATGAAATAATGTTTGTTTTGAAATATTTGGCAATGAACATTATGTTACTTAATTTGTCTGAAAGATGGATAGAAATTGTTTGGAGGCACACACACACACACACACACACACACAAAAGAAGAGAAGGGACTTACAATAGACATCCAGGCGATAATGCCGAATCCTCTTCTGCCCATTAAGTGCAGGGTGGAATGCCTCACAACTCAGAGCTGCCCCATCGTCTTTCCTTTCTACCGGGATGCGGATGGTGCTGGACACACTGAAAGTCTTCCCATTGTCCTGCAGGGATACCACACCTGGAGACAGGCAGGGGAAGCAGGGGGGATTGAAATAATGGAAGTAAATAATACCGGTGAGGTGGCCAAGAAACATTTTAGCAGCCAAAATATGCCTGTTCTTACTTTCTCCCTGCTGAGACATCACACCTATGTTAGGGGACTGTGAGCTGCAGGGAGAAGGCGAGATGGAGGAGAAGAAGGGATTTCGCTTTCTTTTTTTTGATGAGAAACCAAAGGGGATAGAAAAACTGAGCAGAAAGAGAGTAAGAAGTGAGGGATTGATGAATGAGCTTTTTAGAGCATCACCAGGTACCTGTAAAGGGGAGGATGAGTGGTGAGGGAGCAAAGAAGAGATAGAGAGAATAGAAAGCAATTTGCATCTATATTTCATGGCAATTATGAGCAGCAGCACAGTTTGTTTTCCGATAGTAAATCAACTGAATGTTTTGTCTGTGTGCGAGCGAAAGAAAGAGAAAGAGAGATAGAGGAGAGAGAAGGATAAAAGAGAAAATATGCATAACCCAATTGAGATTTTAACTGAGCCAGACATGGAGAGAGAGAAGGACGTCAAAGGAACAGGGTGAGAGAATAAAAGGAAAGGAGAGAGGGACGCACAGAGAGAGAACGAGGGCAGCAAAACAAGCATGATTGATGCGTGTGTGTGTGTCTGTGTGTGTGTGAGAGGGGTGGGGTGGTGGGGGCAGACATGAAAGAGGATGATAACAGTGCGAGGCAGATGCAGAGTGGAAGAAAGATGCAAGAAGAGAGGAGGAGGAGAGACAGACGGAGGGAGGAGGAATAGTGGCAGCAAACTAACGGGACTTGACATGGTCACGTATTGGGAGTTTGTGCTTGTTTAGGCAGAATACAATATACTTATATTGCACTGAATTTTCAATTATTGCTGGCAAGAAAATGAAAGTGAGCTTAATCGAGGCCTGAGAGGATGCCAGCGTGTGCAGATGAGCAAGAATAAGGGTGCGGCGGAAAGATAGCGTCTTAATTAAAGAGTACTTCTGATATCTGTTGGGATCTGCTTCTAACCTTTGGTGTCACAGTTCGTTTAACTCAGGGCCAAAAGAGATGGGTGGAAGAGAGGAGGCGAGAGAAAAGAAGGGAAGAGAAGAGAGGAGAGAGAAGCATTAGGAAACAAGATAAGACAACTGAGGTAAAAGGACAGTCCCTGTCTGTCTCTTGGACTCTTAAAGTGTTGTGTAGCCAACAACTACGCCGAGGAGCCTCACGTCTTTGTCAGCAGTGAAACTTACAGGAAAAAAGAGACTGCTTTAAAAGAAGGTGAAGAAGTTAAGCATAAGGACATGGAGAAAAAACACAGAATGACGGTGACAGGTGCGTTCTGACAGAGAAAAAGAGAAGAGACTGGATGAAAGAGACACCCGGTGTCAGACAAAAATAGAAGGTAAAAGAGATGACAGCTGACATGAAGTTTAAAAGGGCAAAACGCTGCTCGGTGCATGTCCAATAAGCTGCTGACAACAGATTATCGCGCTTTATTTAATCTGGTCCGTGCAGAGCTATCTGAAGTTACAGATAAATGAATGAATTAATAACAATACAAAACACATCTGACACCAGTTTGTACTTTTGAACAATACCGTCTGCATTTATTAAAAACTGGAGATAAAACCGAATAAAAATAATAACAATGAGCCTCAGTCAGAAATGCTTTGCATGACTTAGTCCCCAAGAGCTGTTTTGTTGATGCTCAGTCAACTGATAAAGTTTTTGAGCAATTTAAATCAAACACAATGCTGATTTAACAGAAAATTAATAAAAAAAATGGGTGGGTGTAAAAACAAACAAAAATGATTTCTTAGGGGTTAAATAGGTTGAAGGGCCATGGAAAGATATTTCCCAGATGTATTATTGAGCGAAGTGCTCCTTTAACTGAGGGAACCCAAAGGAGACAGAGAGTTAGAGACGAAGGATAGATCAGGGTATCTGACTGATGGATGGCTCATAGATTTATCAGCAGCAAAGAAGTAGGGAAAGTCAGAAGATGTTGAATTAAAAACTGTCTTCACGAAGCTGTAAAAGAGATAGCATGGGAAAAGAAGAAAATCAGGAGTGCGCGAGGCTTCTGGCAGTTTAATATAATAGTGTGCTTGTCAGATTACGTGCAAATAAATTCAACTGAAATTAATTTTCATGAGAGATTAGCTTGAGAGAACGGACAAAGTCTATGTATATGTTTTCAGAATGAAAAGATGTTCACTGTAGTGGACACGGAGAGGCAAAAGTGTTACATTATTTAGCTGATGTTGATTTAATGAACACAGATTTACTTCTTCAATTAACTTGAAATAGAAGGAATTCCAGTCTCAAAAGAAGTGCTGTTAATCAGTTGGAACTTTACTGTTGCCTATAAATATTGCACAAAAGAAGTGGATCAAAATGTAGAAAGTGGTTTGGAGAGAAAAAAACATGGCAGCCCCACAGCCCAGATGCACATTTCCCTGCTCACTTATCATTCACCTATTTTTTACCTGCTTCTATCAACACATCCATCTGCTAGTCCCCAATCAACCGATCAATCACTCATTCTTTTATTCAGCACTCAATCTGTGATATCACCCAACCATTCTACTTCACCTGCCCTTTATTACCCAATTAACTCCCTCATTTATCTCAAACAATCATTTGAGCATTCATCAGTCCATCTGTCAGCCATGTACCTGCTATCTCCCGTCCTTTACGCATCCATCGCAGGGTGGCGGCCGGCTTGCTGCGTGGTGACACACAGGTGAGTTCCGCCTCGCCGCCCTCCACAGCCTCCTGCTTCACCTCCACTGTGGGTGTCTCTGGGGGAACCAAGACCGAGAGTGTCGCCACCTGGTGGTGCGTGGAATCCGTGTAGAGCTGGCAGAAGTATCCGCCCTCATCGGACACGCTAACGTTGGTCAGTGTGATGCGAACCAGCCGTTGCGTGAAGAGCACCATCTGGAAACGGTCGTCCTTCAAGGCTGGAATTGGGCAAAGACAAAGAAGAGAGTAGGAGAGGGAAGAGGGTGGCGCGGAAGTGAAACCGCATGAGTTGGCATTGTTGAGGATACGGAGAAGAGGACCGTGAAAAGGTGGGAAAGAAAGGGAGGGGTGATGAAAATGACATGGAACAAAAATATGGAATTGGTGAGGAACTCAAGAACAAGATGATGGGTGGTGAGTTCAATAGTCAGCAAACAAATATAAAAAAAAAGACAGTTACAATTTATAATGAAATAAGAAACAAAGCTACTTTTGGCTGCTCCCTTAGTCATGTGGGATCACCACAACAGGAAGCGCTGCAGGTTTTCTTTGGCAGGTTTTCTTCTTGACACAAAGGGATTTGTGTCTCCTCCCAAGTCGGGCAGAATCAGGCAATCTTACGCTTGTTAAGCAAATGTGCAATCCACTACACTAATATGGAGCCACTGCTAGTTATAATGTAAAGCATTTATTTGAAATCTACCCACTGTGTCATTATTAATTAAACCCAAAAAACGTATGTAGATCTTTTTACATTCACGCAGACACACAAGCTATGACTGCTAAGGATGCCATATTTTACAAATTTTCTGTTTTCATACATTTTACTTGGCAGGCTTTCATCTTGGTAAATCTATCAATTTTACATTTTTAAAAGCATATCAGGAAGCTGACATCTAGTCCCCACAAAAGGTAATTTATTCTGCAGGATGCAAATTCTCCACAAGAGGGAGCTAATCAGTTGGTGACAAGGTAGTCCCAACTGGTCAGTTATTAGGATCCTGTATTCTACTTTGATTGGCTACTTTGTTGTGATCGGGACAGCTGATAAAACCTGAAAAGACATGTGACTTCTGAAAGGTTGCGCAACAGGTAAAAGAGCTCGGTGTAGACTTGGCTAAATCAATAAACGGGTCTGGTGATGGGTAGCTTAAATGGCCACAATCTGGCCACAATCAACCTTCCAAAGCTATTAAATATCTAAATTAAAGAGATTTAGATAATTGGCTGCTTGAAAGGAAACACTAGATCAATGAAAAGCTCCATACTTTCTTCATTCAGTGTGTATAAACAATTTTGCCTAATATCTTAAAAAACACAAAAAAACCTCTTCAAACACTAAATATGGTAAAATCGTAACTTGAAAAATAAGCAACCAAAGGTGTCAGGGAGATGTGGTGAAGCAAAAAGCACTGTGATTGTCTGTGAAACATACTGGGTAGAGTATAAAAACAAGTTAAAAAGAAAACTCACTAAAAGACTGCAGACAAACTTGGAGTTGGCCGGACTTTTATTCAGCAAAATGCAGGTTTTTGCAATGAGAACCAGACTGAATGAAATTGCAACATAAACTGCGCTTAAAGCGAAAGAATTCTTTTGACAGGACTTTTGTGCAGTGACAGTGCTTTTGAGGATCTTCGCCTCGTCTGCTTCTGTACGCCTCAGGTGGTCAGGCAAGTGTTCAGTCAGACATGGCGAACAACATAGCAACCTGCTTATTTGCGTCAGTCTTATCTAACCTTGATGCAAGTTTTGGGGTAACTTTCTGTTATTTTTTGAAGTGAGGGGTCAGCACAGATAAAAGACATTACTTTTGCTCAAGAAATAACCATCAGTTCAGGAACTCTACACGTATCTTCTATGTGGGCAGAGATTCAGAGGTCTTGAGACAGGCTAGGATGAACCTGTACAGCAATGCAAAATAAAAGCAATTAGGACGAGTAGTTGGAGGGCCATTGAGGCAGCCTGTTACTAACCAAGCAAGAACAGGTTGCTGGAACTGCAGGTATTTTTATTACAGCTAAGATTAAAATTATAGGTCCAAAGTTACAGGTTGGGGTGGACTTCTGATATGACTCTAGTTGAATCAAATTGGCCAAGTCTGGTTGAAAGTACTTTGCAAATAACAGGATTTGCTTTTTTTTTGTGCATCTTTGAAAATTCAGTGCATTTACATTTTGTTTGCAGTATTTTGAAAGTATCTGTCAAACAGCAGAAGAGAACTAAAGGCTGCTTCAATAGAGGTACATGACATTTTGATCATTGGAATCAGTTGCTTCGTGGCCTCATGATAGTTTGCGCTGTAACAGCAAACAGTCAGTTATATCTCACCAACTCTGAAACAAGAGTCTTCCCCCTCTGTTTGCGATGTCACTCCCATGAACAGCTTTGCAGAGGAAAAAAAATGACAAAACATGGGAGAAACTGTGGCTGCGACAGCACCCCTGTTGATTTGCCGCTCGGGAATTGATAGTGCTGTTAAATCCAAAGCTTGGTTTGATATAGAAAAGTTCATAAACAGTTTTGCAAAGTCAGTCTCGGTGGAGCAGCTCCAGGCTGCACATTGATACAACATAACAGATGTCTTGGTTCACTCATTTCCAGCTTAGAGGGAGAGTGTCGTTCATTTCCCCAAGCAATGATTGGACTTTGGTTAACTAGAATGCATTCATTCGCTCTCTTTGTAAGTGCATGCTTTTTCCTCTCTAAGCCCATGCTTAATTAGCATCTGGCATTTTTATTGTTTGTCTTATTAGATTTTAATCATTATTGTTTTTACTTTCTCTGAAGAACTGAAACACGCTATTTATTTCATTTTTGGAAAGATATTAAATTCAGAGGCACAAACTTTTGAGTCAGAGATACGTGCTGAATACTACAGTTGTGTATAACATACTGTGTAGGTCAAACAATAGAAAATAACAAAAGGCATCAAAGGCAACAATTTTAAAGCCAATCCCGAATCTCAGACCAATAAGCTACAATTACTAACCATATAATCCAAAAAGGAGAAAAATAAGAAAGGACAGTGACATGAGGGATGAGGAGTAATGAAGATGTAACAACTTTTCCTTTGTTAGCAAAGAAAGAGTACAATCAATAGGGAGAAAAATGCTGATAATGACAAATAACACTAATAACAGTCTGTGGTTGACAGTAGTTTCATGTCCATAGATTCTCATAAATACCTTTGAGACTCACTTTGTATTGACTTGGCTGTGAAACCTCCCTCATGCTCCATCTCTATTTTATTCTGTCCCTCTCTTCTTTCCTTTGTGTTGGATTTGGCCTGGCCATCTCGCAGGACAATTTACAACACAGAACAGACACTACGGTATAGATATTAGCTTTGCGGGAGTGTGTGCATGCTTGTGTGTGTGTGAGCGAGAGTGAGCAAATAGGGATGTAGAAAAACGAGAAAAATAGACTACATAATGCAGCAGGCAGGGAAAAATAATATAAAGACAGAAATCCACAGGAGACTAAGAGAGCAGCCTGGGGCAATGGAGTTAGTCCACTTTTCTTGGAGGTACACCACACTAATCTGTCCACCCCACCCCTAAAATTTCCCCTCCATCGGATGGCAATGAGAGCATTGTTAGAGAGCCATTCCCTGCAGACAGGTAAATCTTTTTCCCCCTCTCTGCACTAAATGGCAACTAAATGTCAGACTTCTGTTCAAGTCCAAGTTCACCATGATTGTCCTATCTCATTTGCATGCTGAGGAGAGTTGGCAATAAGATGAGAAAGAGAGATATGGACCACTACGGAGAAAGGGTCCATTTAGTTAGTTCTACTGCTCTATTATAGCTCTCTGTCCCCACAATCTCATAAAAAACACCCCTGACTACTTGCTCACTAGCAAAACAGGCAGTCTAATTCACTGCACTTAGTGCAGCAGCTCTGTTTGGGCAGCTAGTGTGGAATACATCAGCAGAGAAAGGTCTTAGTTTCTTAGCCTGTAATCTGGGTGGCAGATGGGCAATAGAGTGGAAGTGATGGAAGAAATGGTGGAGGTGGCGAGAGCCAGAGTGAGGTGCAATTTACACTCCCAGAAAATGTCCACAATGAGGCTTTTTTTGTTCTTACAGGAGCCAAATTAGTTATGGGAAGCCATCAATGCTTTATAGCTTTGCTAGACTTTGGAGCACTTCCTAATGCGGTGTCTTTCTTCAGCAACTGATCCTCCCTTTCCTTATTCTCTCTGTGGCTGTGTTTTTCTTAACCCTCAGCACCTTTTCTCATTTCCCTCACTCTTTTCTTTCTTTCTCATTTTCTCTTTCATTTGAGCCTTCAAACCGCTTCTTCTTCCTCGTTTTGATTAGGCCTCATCATGCTTTCCAAAGGGTGCAAGTCCAAGCCTCGTGGGAGAGCAGACGGAGCGACTCTGTTTAAATACTTAATGGAACTTACCGGCAGCGTGCTGATCTGATAGAATTGGGGGGAGAAGGTTTCCCAAAGCAGCAACCTCAACTACCCAATTACGTCTGCTCCGTGATCGAGGTGACTAACAAGTGAAGGCTAAGTGTATGGAACAAAAGCACTGGAGTGCTGCACCTGTGAACAGTGAAACTACGCCTGCAACTGATTTTTGTTTTTACTGATTTTTCTCTCATCTTTGCATTCTGTTCAGAAAACTTTCATTGACTGCTATTTTGCAGACTGTTCCTGTGGGGAGTGTGGGAGTGTTGATTGTCGGATCGATGTAATTACAAGAACTGCAGGTTTTAATGATTAGAAAGTTGAAAATGTGTTCAAGTGCAAATTTTCACATATATAAATATCACACTAGATGATTGCAATTACAACTTTGAGGTATAAGAGTCTCCTTTTTACTGTGGTCAAAAGCAAAGGGTTTTAAAAAGTCTGAGCATTGCACCTTGTACCACCTCACCAAGAAAATCAGCTCTTGATCTATTGGCCGTTCATTATTTTGACATTAAGCTCCTTTTAGCATTTTACAATTTCTACCTACTTACTGCACACTGAAAAACAAACTATTAAACCTTTAAAGCTGCGTGAAACTGCCAGTGGCATTAAAATAACTATTAGGACCTTAGACTGTCTAATGCACAAACACAATGTTTTGTAAAAGTCAAATTTTAAGATGCTCAGATAAGAATTCAGAATTATTGACTTAGCAAGAGTTGCAGATTGGAATTAAAATGCTAATGTGTACGATACTCAGGCGCTCAGAAACAGTCATCAAGAGCAGCTTGAATGAAGTTAGCTCAGCAAACAGATTATCTGTCTTATCACCTGTCACGCAATTACAGCGGCGAAAAAATCCTTTTCCAAATAACAAGTAATCAAAACATATTTCTTGGAGTAGCTAGGCACTATAGAGACGAGTGTTCTGCCACTTGAAGGAAAGAATTGGATCTTGGTATGTAGATCTTCAATAAAGTAGACACTGTTGAGAAGTTTTCACAATAGAAAGCTCCTTGGATGAAAGATGAGCAAGTGATTTTGCTGGGGGATTTGGGGTTTTCTAGTTGGCTGCTCTTCCAAACAGATAGAGATGATTTTTACGCTTGTTGCAGACTGTGCTTTTGATGTGATTTTGGCGGGGGCGGCGGTGGTGGCAGTGTGGAGACTCCTGTGCATAATAATGTCATGCATGCTCAAAACCAAGCATCTGTGAACACAATTGTGCTGGCCCTTCGTTACTGAGAGATTGCAGCAGCTAGCTGATTAGCTGGTTAATAGGATTTTGTTTTCAAAGTTTGTTTGGTTTTAATATTAAATCCAGCTCACTAAATAAGGGAGTTAAACAGATATTTTCCTCTTTACTGATCAGTGTCTATGTGTTTTGTGCTTGTTTTTTTTTCTCCTTGAGAACTTGTTTGCGTTTGACTTGAAGGAAAAGGGCTCAGCTCGGAGGAGACCAGGCTACTGGTGTCTTATATGCCTGAACTAAACACATACACCATCCTCCCCTTTACTGTGAACATTTACAAGCCACAGTATGAAACTGTAGCCTTAAGCCCAAACTAATGTCTTATCACATAGATTATGTAGTGCATAAATAACACATTTTTTGGTTCAATTAAGCTGCTACACACAAAATTCAAAGCAATGTTTAATATCCTTGATCGCTGTTCTTTTGCTCAGAGGTTTCCTAGCAGCATTTCTGCTGCAAATCTGGCTAAGGTAGCAACTTCTGCCCTTAATTAGTAAGAAAAAAAAACAGGTAGAGTTTGCCTACCCCGAGGCCCTCAGTGAATTCTGCCTTCATTAAAATATTGGTTACAATGATAATTTGCCATAAAGCTGTATTTAAAAAAACATGTGATTGTCAAGGCCATGCTCTAATGAGGACTTTAATAAGTTCTGATCTCATCACTGGGGTTAACAGCGGATTATGCAGAAAGCTTCGAACTGTGCTTTTAAAACAGATAAGTAGTCACACTGTTAGGGCACACAGTAAACCCATCTCCTAATTTCACGTGGTGGTTAGCTGACTTTCTAATGTGAAATCACTTCAAAGGGAAAATGAGGACATTTGCGAGAAGAAAAATGTAAAATGAAAGTGTTGGTGAGTCACTGCTAATGTGTCTAAAAGGCTCGCTTTAAATGTCACCAAAGGCAAATACATAGACAAGGATAAATTAGGTTTGTCTGCAGAGACCAGCGTGCACGCAGATACACACCTCGCGTGCCGTTGAAGAAGAGAGTCTGGCGGCGGGGATTCTGGATGACCACGATTGATCCATCGTAGTTCTGCAGGCGGCAGGAGATCTGAGCCGTACCCCCCTCCAAGACTGTTACATTCTCTGCTTGCACTGCCTGACAATGGGCTGAGGGAGAGAAAGAGAGACGTAAACATAGTGATACAGAGGTTGGACAATCCAGAAGAAAGAAGGGGAAAAGAAAAGAAAACAGATTGAGGGAATAGAGAGTTGTTCAATTCTCTTGAGGTTGAATCTTTTAAAATATAGTATTTAAAGGATGATTCATTTACTTGCTATTCATCACACAGACACAATAATGAAATAAATGTTGAAGAGGAGGGAAAAAAGAGAAAGAGATAAAGTGATAAAGCGATTGAGAGCAAAAGAGAAGCCACCGAAGGACTCAACAGGTAAAAGAAGGTTCTCGAGCACTGCATTCATACGATAATAAGATGGATGATTATAATTACTGCTATTCGTTTCTTTACATGCACAAACACACATACAACATCCACATTGCTTTGGGCTAGTCTAACAGAATGCATCAACAAACACATTTGAACAGATAACGCTTACATCTTTAAGTGGCTGTTTGTCTCTTGGGCTTTAGATACATGCTTGAATGGCCATGCATAAGCACAAACCTGGTGGCATACAGCCAAACACATGTGCACACAACTTAAATTCATTCAAACAGATGACCACACTGCTGCCCTGTCACTACTTGTGTGTATATGAACAGTTTAAGTTGCAGCAGCATTATTGTACAAGTCTGTAATTGGCCAAAGTGCCGAGCTATGAAACCAGGATGGGAGCTTTAATTGGACTTCACACATTCTTAATGCCATTTCTCTACCAGGTGCATTCTAAACCCACTGATTACACTCCATTATCCAAATGAAATGGTTCTCATAGGGACACTTTCATGTACACGTGGTTGGAAAAGTACGCAATAACAAATGAGCACAGACACACAAGCACGTGTGCACGGAAAGTGACTTTCACAGTCCCAAAAACTGTCTTACATAGTCTTTCAAACAAACTTGTCTGGCTCCTCCAACTCAATATTTTTAGACAAGGGGGCTGAGAAATAGCAGGGAGCCTCTTTGATGTTGCTGACAGCTCAAGAGTCAGTAATGAGGAGGTTGATTATGCTCTGATTGTTGCACCCTCCATGTTTGTGGGTCAGGCTGTTGACACGACTCGGCTGAGTCACACCTCCCGCTGAGCACAATGGACACTGAGAGCCGTCGTTTGAATTCAAATGATTTGCGGAGCAATTAGTCATATGGTTCCAGCCAGGAGTGGAATGTGATTGCCTTGAAGAGAGTACCAGCTTGCTGGGCCTCCAAAACTAGTATTTACCAATTTGCATCTCCATTTGCATTCCCTCTCTCCCTGGCAATGTGTTGGCTGCGGGGAGGATTTAGAGGAAGAACGACACCAATATTGAAACACAGTGATGAAGCAGGCAATGAGAAGAACTGATAAAGACGGCAATGTTATATATATTTCACCGCTGTGTCTAGCAGTGTCTCTGAGCGTTGTAAAACACCTTCAGAAAGCAAGAAATGTTGTGAGACAAACAGACGGCAGCTGCTGTAGTAGGAGTTGCTGACTTGACTGCTTTGGGCCAAAATAAATGTCTATATCTGCAACAGAGTGTGTGTCCTGAGCAGGTTTTGCATGCATGTCTGTGTGTGCACTGGCTGTGCATATGCAGGTGTTAACATATTGCAATTAAGCTACTTTGACATCATCTGATCCCTGGAACTTCATCCAAATCTAATCCCCCTTTGATTATAATCTTTTTTAATGAAATACTCAAAGCCTACACATTCATCACGTCAGGGGAAACACAGAGACACAGTGGATATTGAACTGAAGTTAGAAAGAAACCAAGGGGGAATAAAGACAAAGGAGACTCTAATACTTTATGGAATGGAGAAAAAAATCTTGACAATTACCACTAATTGTAGTCATTATTGCTCTCATTCTCTGCATCAATATTGTGATTCATATCGGGGGCCATCAGGGCCTGCCACTGCCATCCCAATTATTTTTCTAATGGCTGTTATTACTCATCACCATAGAAACTGGGCTTGGCCACCATTGTCTTAAACAGATGTAATTGCAAAAGCGCTGCTGCGCATCCTGACAAAAACAGTGCCGGGTCTGCGCGTGACTAGTGACCCATCGGAACCAACAGAAAGCGTGCCCTTAAGAGCAAGACAGAAAGTGGTCAAAAGTTTGCTTCTTGGTTGAGGCCAGAGAAACTAATTAGCTGTCCATTTGTACACCCACTTCTCCTGACAGCTGTCACCTCTTCAAAGAAAATTAGCTGTGGTGGGATGGCGGTAAAGCACAAAGAAAAGCGGGAAAGAAAAATAAAAATTAAAACTCATTAGTGGCTTATGCATCAGTGATGACTGACATCTGCAGTTGCTTTCTGAGAGATGCCACCCAGAAACACCTGCTGCATGCTGGTGTATGATCAATCTCAGCAAAGAGAACGAAAGAGCAGAGGGATATAGAGATGGCGGGGAATGAGGGCTCTAACCAGGAAATGATAGCAGGGAGTTAGGAAGTGATGGTTCGGGTATAATAATGCAGCTGGTGGGGGCTGGACGAAATATGCGAGAGATGACGCATATTCTTCAACTCCCGCTCGTAACGCAGCTGGGTACAGCACTTTAGTTTGACTGTAGGTTTTATAGGCTGCCATTCACATCAAGGCCATGAGCCTGTGCCTCTGATCACCAGCATGGTACAATCCACAGAGGGAATGAGAAGGAGGGGGAGGGAATCAACCTCTGTGACAGAGGTATTAATCTCGGCCCCATTAAAATCTGTGCCCATAATAAAATACTCCACAAGCGTCGACTCGTATTAAGAGAGAATGGCGAGTGCAATCGATATCATGGTAGTGCACTGACGGTTATGGCAGTGGATAAATAAAACTGGATGGGGAGCAAAAACAATCACTTCTCTCTCCAACCAAGCGGGGGCAGTATTTTATAGCAGTGAAATTCCTATCATTTCCCATGCCACTGCCCCCGCTGTCACAGCCCTGGAAAAGAAAATAGAAGCCCTTATTTACTATGGCAGGAGACATCCAAGAAGGGCCATCATTTCAAAATACATAAACAAATAAATAAATAATAGGCAGGCAAATTCATAAGACAAGGGACCCGTCCTAATGGTCCCACAATAGGGTGAGTTATTAGCCAAGGGAGCCGGTGGGTAGTGGGACAGAGTGAGGGGATGAAAGGAGGTGTAGAGAGCTAAAAGAAGGGGATTTGGGAGGCAGCCAGGTGGACTGCTGGCTCACCCTTGGTCACGGTAAATTCTAGAAACTGTCTCACTGGTGCAGGGTTAGCAGGCTGAATTACGGCCTTGCTGCGTCTCTCTCACTTGGTATCACTCTCCCCTTAACTCACTCTCTCCATGTCTTTGAAGGTGGAGAAAGGTGAAGATTGAACAGAAAGACAAGCCACATAAGAGATGAACTGTCTCCATTTGCCCCAAACAAGCCCTCATGTATCCTTGAAGAAGTGCAGTCACTGTCTCCCTATTCATTATCTGTCATTATCTTTCAACTGGACGAGGGCCAAGAGCTTGTGTTTTCTTTGCATGCTGGTCACGGATTTACAAGGGAACTGGTGCTGTAGACTACAATGCATAACCCCTGATGTTGTTACTGCTTTAATTAAAACAATAACAGCAGCTCATAGTTTCCACTCATAAGGGCTCGTCCTTTGGCAACTTCTCCATCACTTCCCATCTGGATGTACATATTTTTATCTTGCGTTATCCCGTGAGTCTGCGAGGCAAGTCGGTTTCTACGGTATGTATGCAAATGAAGTGTGCAGTGTTTATATGCGTGAGTGTATATTTATGAGCATGTGTGTACGAACACTTGCTCTAGGTTAATCACAGAGTTTTGCAGCGTTCCGACTCTATGAAAAAGCTGACTTTGACGTTCTTCCACTCCAAACCTCCCACTGCAGACCCGCAACTCTCTCCCGTTCCCTCTCCCCTCTTTCTCTTCCCTGTCTAAAATTATCGCTTTATCTCACAGGGAGGCAGAACTCTGCCAATCAAATCCAGTTCCAAGAAAAAAAATTCTCCCTGTACATAAATAATACATAATCCTTTACAAATCTCGCTGTCGTCTCTCTCATTACCTTTGTTCAGTCCCTTTCTGAAGTCCTCTTTTCCCCTCCTAAGCTAACACTTTCTTCTCAGTTTTTGAGTGTACTACCCTGTCCCCGATTTTTTACTTCATCCACAGCTCATAATTCTCTCCTCCCGCTGTCTTCTTGTCTAATCTCATTCTCACATCTCCCTCTTTCCTCTTTTTATTTAAACCCAGAGTCTCTCCATCCATCTCCTCCCCACCTTTTGCCTTATCTAATCCCTGATTCTTCGTCATTCAGCGTTCCTTCTCCTTTCGGCCCATCTTCTTTCTCCTTCTCATCTCCCTTATCTTTTATTGCATCGTTCATCATGCATCTTCTTCATTAATGCTGTCCTAAAGGTCCCCTTTCCGCTTCTCTCCTGGGCCTCAGGAGAATTTTTGCAACTTTTTTCTCTTTAAATCTTCCCTGTTATCTCTGGTCTCTAAACTCTTTCTCCCTCTCTCTTTTTCTTTCTTCATGTAGTTTTTTTCCTGGCTTTGCAATAGTTTCATTCTGAACTCCAATATGCTTTCATTCCCCTTGCAATCTCTCTCATTCTTTCTCTTTTTGTGACTCAGTGGGAATCTTTTCCTGCCTCTCTGCTGGTTCCATCTCCACACTCTCCTTCCCTAAATGTGATTTGTTCTGCAGCTCAAGTCTGCAGCATAATCATGCTGTTTTTATAGTGTGCGGGGAGAGGGGAAGAGAAGGAGCAAGGGGAAGACAGAAAAAAGTGAGAGGAATGAATGGGACAAGAGGGCAAAACAAAAATAAGTGGAGCAAGAGACCGAATGTTTCAGTTTCCCCTCTTTCATCTTCTGTACTTTCTCTTCTCTTAATTACTTGTCATATAGCTCAGCCCTGTCCCTCTATCCTACCCTCTTTTTTCTCTGTGTTTTTCTTAATCTCTCTCTCTTTCTCTCTCTCCAGCAGAAACTTTAGACC